TTATGCGAAGTTTAAGTTTTTATTTACAAATAAAACCACAAATTTTCACACAAGGTTGAAATATTGACCACAAAACCTGAATGATTGAGCACTTCCCTTGAATTGATTTTGGTCGATATTTTGCCAAGCAATAATCATCATAATAACAAGTATTATAAGGTTTCTTATATTTCACACATTTGTCATGTATCTAAGTATGTTATGTAAACTTGTAATAGACTTGTAATAAAGTCACCACTTCAAGAAAAAAATTTTGCTCTATAAAGAACACATGGCTTGCTCAAAATTTTATTAAGGAAAGGTTAGATTTTTATTTAACCTTTAAAGAATCCTTACGTGTGTAAGTTCATCAACATTGTTACGATAACTGTAATACGTAACTCAATTTGTTTTCTGCATATTTTAATATAATTTGAAATATTCTTCATAGTTCATATTGTCTACATGAAAGGAGAAGATCCTGTATAAATCATTAAGTAAACCATCCACGTAGACTTAATCTTGAAATGCACAACGCAGCTCTGAGAGAGACGTCCTTTTATTATATCTTGCAAGATATTATTTGCCCTTAACAACATCAGAGCTGCCTTCAGCGAATGTACAACTAGATAAGTCCGACTTTGATAGTTCTTTTTGCAGCAGAAATTAAACAGACGACTTTTGAATACAAGACCGTTTCCAGGGAGTCCTCATTCCCGGCGAAACCAGTACAAATGTTCCCGGCACGAGCGCGAAAGACAAGTATGCACTCCGATTCCAAGACGTTGTTTGCACACTCGATGCGTTTCTTTTCGCTCGGCGATTGCGTCTCGCTCGATTTGACGATGTAGGGAGAATGAAAGTTGATTTTCTCCCCGATCAAACAACTCCAACCGGGAGTCATTTATTTCACGACGAACTTACAGAAATGTCAACAGACCGGTAAAAAAGTAATAGTGCGCGCGCGCCGAATAAAAATCGATTAACGCGGTCGGATTAGTTGAACTTTTAAACATTCACGTCATACATGTCGTCGCGTATTCCACTCGACGTGGCGTATCGTGATTTCCCACGCGAGGCGCGGCGTGTTCGTTGACAAGAAAAATTTACGCAAATTGAGTAAATACTACAGGGATCACACTTGCTACGTAAACGCGAATTTTCCAAATGAATACTTTAGCTAAAAAATTACCTGCTGCAAGTAGGTCGGCATTTGAGCGCGCACATTGCAGCGATATTTATGAAACTCGTAAATGCGTACAAATGCAACCTCGAAGCTCCAGCTGGCGGACTTTCGGTGTCCAAAACGACATTTAATACCTGAATAATACGAATAAGATGTTGCAGTTATACACAGTTATACATAAGATGTTTGTATGACGGATTGCCTATCCGTTTCACTGGTAGGTTGGAGTTCACTGATACGCGTAGTTGGGCACAATCTCAGCAGACTTTGGTCAGTTGTGCACTTTCCTGCGAAGTTTACGTTCCAAGCTTAGACTTATATAAATGGAAGAGGAATATTTCACATGGAACAAGTCTGTGTTCAACATCTGTATCATTATTCAAGAAAATAATGACATAATTATTTTTTTATAACACTTCGCTACATCAGCTGGGTAGGTGACTACAAAATGACATGATATCGGAGCATGCGCACTGCAGACGAATGGAATTCTAGCTTTCTCTTTCGCACAGATGTTGAACACAAAACCGATGTTCAACTCTTCTTCTATTTATATACATTTATATATATATATATATA